CTAGTACAAAGAGAGAGAGAGAGAGAAAAAAAATTAAACGTAACTCTTTGACCGAATCCAGTTCTATGATGATATTAACTCGGTATAACATTCTGATTTTTAAAATCAACCCAACGTAGTGTGTTCGATACTTCAAATGCCTTGCGAGACATACGGATCATTAACAGTCTTTTTCCCACAATCAATGTTATATTTATAGCAGAGAAAAATGAAAAAAAAAAAAAAAAAAGAATAGAGGAGGAAAAATTAGAGACTGCGTTCCGATCAGAGATGCTTCGTATAAAGGACGATCGTGGTTGGTGTTGAAAGTGCAAGATGGTAACCGGTGTGTACTGATCAGGTTTGCTCGTAGGTACCGGCACAGGGCAACCGGTTAACGGAGCGCTACCGTCGTTACCGTCGCCAACGATGCCGAATTTTAACATGGCCGCTCAAACGCCGAACGGCCAGCCAGCAGGTTCGGATCCAGGTGTCTACACCAACGGAATACCGCAGACTTATGCGGGACGTGAGTATCAACTCAGGCGCAGCGTGCCGCCCCTGCGCAATACCCGGCCAATCGGCAACAGACTTTATTATTCCACGGGGATGTAAATAACTTCGCGCAGGCCAAGTACCATGCCAAGTACGCCGGGCGGTACTCGCACGTCATACTCTTCCGTTACTTCGGTGAGGAAGCGCCGTTACATTCGTTGACGTTTATTTGCGAGGAGAGCTGAAATTAACGACGACAGGGGGGGGGGGGTCCATGTGCGGAAGACTTAGCACCAATGCGGGGCTTCACTGGCTCTTGCTAAGGGCGAGATTTATGTTTACACAAGAGTGACTCAATTCAAGTAATGAACAATTAAACTTGTAGTAAGTAAAGTATGTGAGTGTTAGTAAGTACACATTCAAACTGAGATTCTTTTCTTTTTACATTTATCTTACGATTATTCTCGAGGTCTCTCGGACTGGTCTTTACGTTCGACGTTCAACAAGACGCATCAGAAAATTAACGATAAAAATAGTCGTATGACTATTGATTAAGTGAACCGTATATAACATTGATAAATTTTTAAAATATTATTTATAAATCGGGGACTCTGCGTCTGCAAGAGCAATGAATTTCACGACGTATAATCATTCTTATAGTCGATCCTTTATTAGTCGTCGTCCTTTATCGCCATTCGAGTACTTATTACTAGTCGAGTATATATAGTCAGTGGAAATATCGAGCGGTATTGATTGGCCTACTGGGTATTGCGACAGGGGCCTCTAGGCTAGGCCCCTCTCCCCGATAAGAGCTGAGCTTACTGAAGTGTAGATGCCCTCCATCTGTCCATTCCAGCGCAGGGGTTGGCCAACGGGGAGGCGGCACTTCAGCATGCCGCCGCGTATCCTGGAATGCAGGCTTATGCTGGAGTGGCCGGTAAGTGTTTCCCCAGCTTCAATTTTTATCTCTACGGCTTGTCAAGGTGCTGTCTACCCTGTCCGTGTCTTCCGTACAATGATTGTAGCGCGTTTCGTCCATCCAGCTCCACCGAAGCAGACTCACGGGTATTATCGAAGTAAAAATAGATGCAACGTGAGACATACGTTTGTCCATCATTCGTCTCCGTAGAGTTTATTTTGAATCGAATAATATCATTTAATGTCAATCGATTGTAAATTACTGTACAAGCGTATCGTAAAAAATTAAAAATTATATTCAACTGTGTTCATATTGTTATTTCGTAAAATAAATTATTATAAACATAAGATAGATTTTTTTTTATATATTATTTTTTACGAACGGAAATTTTTTTACGAGACAGAACAGAAGTTCTTTCTCCGTAAACTTAAAATTAATTCACAAATGTGTATTTTAGCGTCGTTTCATAATCTCGTATTATCGTAACGTTTCGCATTATCGCGACGTTCGCGGCATCAGTTTTCGCACGCGCTAGATAACACTTTGAATATACTCGTCTCGCCCGGATGTTGCCCATCGCGATCTTGAGCGGGTCGAAAAATGCGTGCGCGTGGCCGTGAGATGGAGATTGTCTGTATGTAAAGGGAAAAAATGCATCAGAGAACGTCCAACGTTTACGTGGCTTTTATCCGGGCGCCGTCGGAGCACTTACCTACGAAAAAATTCGATTTCGCTGATCGCGTTGCTGGTTGTTTGCATGCAACTATGGTCGCATGCGTATATACACACATACACACCGTACACGTCATACATGATCGTGTGCGCGTCAACGTTTCGTTCTATACTGCTTCTGCTGTGGTGCTACGATGTACTTCGATGTCCTTCTAAATGTACTTCGTGTACATATTATATTGTAGTTTTTAAACGTTTACACGTCGTCTCCTCTCGTGCATGCTCCCTCACCAACGCCAATGGCGAATTATTCGCCGTCGACCGTCGACGTTGTAGCGTCAAAGTGCAGCGCATTGGTGCAAATTATGACCCGATAAAGCCTGGCACAAAATGGATGATCTCGTTTCACGGATAATCAGCGCCTCGATGGACCTATACTTCTATTACATTCCAATCACTCTCAGTAACGGGAGAGGAAGGGAAGGGTGGGTGGGCGTTTAACAAATTCCGCGTTTACCCCGGATTCGATCGGATATCGTTGTCCGCTTATCGAAAGTACAATCGCGAATAATGAGAAGAAAGGGGATATCATTTATTCTCACCCGTGTCAGCGATCAATCCGCCCCTTCGTGTCCCTCTCTCAATGTACCACCAGCGTATCGGCGGAAATTCAACAAATTCGAGTCATAACAAACGTATAGATCGCGCGTACCGAGAGCGCGCGAGCACCGCGTCGGTACCGAGTCGTATTTACCGAGGACTCAAAAGCGGTATATTTTTTTCTATGTATTTTCGGCCAGAGTACACATACGCCATCGAGATCAGCGAGTGGAAAAAAAGCAATCCCGGAATAACGGCGTACCTCTATCTGAGCGTGACGCGGCCCCGACGTATGATGGCGTATTTATTTCATACGCCAAACGTTGATCCATCGCGCGCACCGGCGGGGAGGGGGGGGGGCCTCGGGTAACGTCAATCGGAATATATTAAAGCGATGTTTGCACGGAAATAATTAATTCCGGGGCGAAAATTCGCCTCTGCCGATCTGAGAGCGTAACCCGCGCGCACGCTCCGCCTATCCGTCACAAACAGGTATCAATCACGAGCATTTTAAATATTTATCAAGCTATAATTAATAACGACGTACTTGCTTTCTGCCACGTCGCGTGTAGCGATCGGTATAATGCTGGGCTCGAGCGTTTATACCGAGGTCCAAATTTACAGACTAACCAATTGTCATCAAACGTACGCAGAGATCGCGTTGCGAATTAAAATATAACTGGCACTTCTGTTTAATGTGAAATATTTCGCATTTCGATTCTCGTCGATCAGAAGTGATATTGATACCTATTGATCGATACGGCCGTTTTTTTTTTTTTTTTCTCTAATTTCGTTAAATATAGAATTACGGCAAATTTTATTAAGCGCTTTTAAATAAAATTTTGTTATCTTAGAATTTCATTACATCGAATAATCGTTAATGTATTGACGGTGTGTCAACATTAATACGAGACGTTATAAAATCTCATAGTAACAAAAAGCTTGTTATAATGAGATCTCCCGTCGATTCGTTGTAATACGATATTAAGCAAACGCTTTTACGATAATGTCTCTCCAATTTCAGAACTTTATTCCGTACGAATCGTATGTCCTCTCTGCGAAATCTTCCGTTTTAACGTTGTTTGTCTCGGGACGTTCCTTTCTCGATTGCTTAAATGTTTAATTTCGCAAATTGCAACGGGATATTCTGTACAGTTGCGCCTAGACGACTTTTGCTACATCATTGCGCTAAGAAGGTCTCTCCCGTATCCCATTTTAATGAGGCACGTCGTTTCAAGAATCGGCTTTGAAGAAATATCTGGTGTCGGCTAATGACGCACTACGGACGCACAGTACAACGCTGCATTTTCGCCCAGGCTGCGACAGTTTCGCGTACAAAAGTATCGTGTTGAAAGTCGCGCGGTATGGTGAGAACGTTGAGAGACGAATACCCTTGTCGGCAGAAACGCCGTGATGAATGCCGGCTAGAATCGTCTGTACGAGACGAGCTTTCGTATCAGTGAGTCGCTTCTACACCGCTCGCTTTTACAGGGGCAAACAGGCCACTCGGGTAGAAGCACGATTTCCATATTTCGCATTAACGATAAGATTATGCGGGATCTTCCAGAAATAACAGTTTTGCAGAGAAAATTTTGCTGGAGATCAGCATTTGTTATATTCATCAGCATTTCTCGCGCACTTGGAACGCACACTTGATAATCACGTCTCGAGAGAGGTAATTTTTTCGAATAAATAATAAAATTCACTTGAATTGGATGGATGTTATCTAAATTAAAGTTCAAAAAGCTTCATTCTCGAGAGAGACTTGCCATTCCAAAGCGATCGCAGAATCTGTCATTAATATCGAGCACTGGAATAACTCGCATAATTCGAATTGCATTTCTCGTGCTCCCCAGAACGACGCAGAAATGTGTCTCCGCGTTCTTTATCCTCCTTTAATATCCTCTTAATGTTGACGCTTCAACCTTTCCCCCCTCGCGACGAATCTTCGGCAAATCGCAAGAATAAATGGTCGCGTCCGATTTACGTGTTCCCGACGTGTTCCGAAACGCGCGGTCATAAATTACGCCATTGTAATCTGTCCAGCGATGGCAGCGCAATTTCTGTTGAATCTGTTGACGTTTATTGGACTGTTCGGCTTTTATTACTGTCATCGTCCATTATGTATGCGCTATCGCTGCATTGAATTACGACGCCTATATTCGTTCGGCGGCTGCCGCCGGTCTCGCGCTGTCCCTGGCTCTTACTGGCTCGACGGCCGACAGCGGATATCGCAATACGGAAAAGGACAAAAAAGAGGGTTTATGTGGGGAACGGATAGGCAATGGCACGCACAGATCTAGATGTGGACAGTTCATGATGTACTTGTTATTTGTTATTGTCGCAGCTTACCCCGCCGTCTACGGCCAGTTTCCTCAGGCTATTCCTCAGCCGATGACCGCGGTGGCACCCACGCAGAGGGAAGGTAAGTACAACACGCTCTCATCAACGTCTAACTGTTGACTGTAAACACGAACGTCTGTAGACCTGAGATTGTAGTTCCACGTCCCGTACACACGTCCAGACACGAATTATCCATCGTCGGCGCCCAACGAGGTGCAAGAGTTTCGACTTCTCTTAACGTCGCTGCCACCGCAGCTGACGGCATTAAGCGTAATTGCACATCTCGCACAGCGATTATCGCTCCGATTATGCGTAAAAAAAAAAAAAAAAAGACGAGTGAGAGACTGAGTAAATCGTAAGATCTAGATCTTTTGTGTTCCGTTTAGTTTTTTTCGCGTTTGTCATTTTTAGTTTAATACAATAATGCTCGATCCTACAGTTTTATCAATTCGAACATTCCAAGTATTTGGTAGATTTTCTTTTCATCGAAAGAGGATCGTTGCTTCAAAGGCGGATGTTTCAATTCGATAGAGTTTAATTACAAATTTCCATAGCGCGAAATTGCATGAAAATGCGATTACTTAGAAAACCATCAGTCGGAATAAAAAGAACGGTCAAGATCAAGAAAGAGTCGGTCGAAGAAGAGATCGGTCAAAGAGACAGCCAAGTCTCGCCTCTCAAATATATTGGTGCGGACTAGTCATTTACTATGCCATCTTTTGCGGAAAAGTACTGAAGGAGAGCCGACGGCAGGGAAAAAGTCGACCAGGCAAGTCCGGGGTTAGAAGAGGGTTGAGCGAGCCAACGCCTAATTGCAATTAACAACTCGCCATTATTAGAATATACGACGCCTCGCAATGAGATAATGCAAATAAAACGAAAGTTTTAATTACTTTGCCGCTACGCCCGCCGGCGATCCGTTGTTACATCGCAGGATAATGGAAAGTTTACCGCGACAGCGCTACCCCGCCTCCGTTTTATCCGGCCTCAACCCTCTGCTCCGACCGCTATGTCCGCCCCCCCCCCTCTCGCTCGTCTCTACCCGTTCCTATTTTCATTCCGCCTGATCTTTTCGTCTCGTCGATGCGTTCTGACATTTTCCCATGCGCCGCGACTAAATCGTAAGCGGTATACGAGATGGGAGTAAGAGAAATCTCTAATCGAATTTATTTCCTGTACGTGATGACAAATATCTCGCGTATTTATCAACGCGATTTTTCTCACTTCTTCTCTACTAAAAAATTATTAATAACTTTATTTCCCGACAGGATAAATTTTACAATATAAAATCACCCATGACACTCTATTTCTTTCTTATTAAAAAATTGTATAATATTATATCGTATGATGTATATATCTCACATTTGTTTGTTTTTTTATATATATATATTTGAACAATCTACATAGTTGAAATGACATGAAATATATTTCATATCTGTTCTCATTTTTCTCTGTGTGTAAGTGTAAAGTACACTGTCGAGAACACAAATAGTTCCCAAAGTTTTTTTTTTTTTTTTTCCCCCCCCCAAAAGAGAGCAACGTTTATCATATTGCTGACTTCTTGGAAACTTTTGTGTTAGATACAAGTTTTGTAAAAATAAAGAAAACGTGTGTGTGCAGACACTTTATCTTTTGGAGAAACTTATGTTAGATGTCAAAGTCGTTAGGCGTGCCGCAATATCGGACGGAACCCAAGGGAGCTGAAGGGGAATCGACGTTATTGTCATCATTGCATGACAGTGGTATCGATCTATTATTGACTGTCGCTTCGCGAGTTTACCCTTGCTCCGTGTTACTTTAAGCTCCTTGATCGTTGTTCTGGGTGTTCTACGTCTTACACGATGTTTTTCGGTGTTCGTATATACATTTCTTCTCTCTGACCATGACTGTGTCACAATATTTTTAACGTTATGCGGATAGCTCTCCTCTTCCTTCTTTTATCTTTTTTTTTTTTCTTTACGTCAACGTATCTCGGATGTTGGTCGTTAATTCGGTGTTTCACCGTTGCACTCGATGTCAGTGGCTGTTCTCGGTGTTGCGCTGTCGACCAATGTTGGTTGTTGCTTCGCTACGAGACGGTGATACGTGCATTGCGAGATTTTGTAATCTCTATCTACGAGAGAGAAATCGACACGAATCCGTTTCGCGATCGGCAACACCGTCACTCGCGAAAATAAATATATCGTTATACGGTTCGGTCATGTAAGCAAAATAATTCAACTTTGCGTAGAAAAACTCAAATTCGTGTAATTTTAAAAATAAAAGTAATATTTAGATTGTTAAAAAAATGATTCTTCCGCATATAAATTTTGTGTATATATTCTAAAAAAATAGATACAAAGTTGCATAACATTTTATTAAAATTATACATTGTTAAATTTTAGCCAGATATTTCATTGCGCGAAGAGAGATGAATTCGCGAATTTTAAATATTTGGATGTTTCACGCAGCGCGTTCCGCTATTACTTTTCGACAGAAGTAGACGTAGAAGTAGACAAGGTAGTCGTTCTCATTAAATTCGCGTGCACGTACCGCGTGTGTGCCAATTAGAGAGGCGAAAACCAATTTCAGGATCAACGATCGCGCGCGCGGCACGACGACGGGCTTTAATTTATGGCTCGTTCTTCGTGATTTCGTCGTCCACCGCAATTCCCCTCCGTACTCTCCCTAGTCGGAACCGGAAACCCGTCGACACTCGTGCTAATTTGGGTTTCGCGTGACAGCCACGATCGAGTTATTACCAGGACGAAGTCGTTTCGCGTAAGAGAGGGAGAGTTTGTCACTCTTTGCGTAAACCGCAAAACAGGTTTGTGATTTCTCGAGGCACTAAGTACCCAACAACATTAATTTATAATTGACGGAAAAGTTTGTATTAAATCGACGATTTGTTTCGGAATATCGCTCTTTTCATTTTAAATTGCAGATCGTTGTGTACGAACAACTTTCCGATCCGCGCACGAATTACTTTAGAAATTTCGATAGTATGGATTACACATCTATCAGAAATGCATATAGAGTAATGCTCAAGGATAGGAAAGTTTTATCCTTTTGTGAATCAAGTTTTGTAACTCGAACTTTTGCAAATGTTGATCGCGATGCGTTATTTGCGACAACTGCAATTAAAGTTTTACTCTCGGACAATCGATGAAAATCACTTCCGAATCGCATGAAAATATCCTCGTAAAACCGTCGTAAAATTTTGTCTGTGTCGCATTAATTCTGAAACTTTGCCGGAATTTGCGATGATAATCTTATCGACTAGCAAATACGTTCAACGAGTCATGCGATATTATCGTGAACAGAAGCGACATACATAGGAAGTCGTAATTGGGTTGAAAATCGACAATTATGCTCTGCGATGATTCGACTAGCATATTCCAACCGGGGATTCCCGGAGGAATCTGTCCGCAAAAGATCTTTCGGGTAAAGGCGAACAGGTCGCGATGAGTAGTACCCTAAAAGTTGAGTAGCAGCCATCTCATTACTTAAATGCGTCCGTTAGTCCGGGAGAAGCTCTGGCCAAGAGAGCAGAAGTTTCCACGGTCATAATCGCCGCTAATTGACGTCGGAGTTATAAAGTTCAGTGAAATTAGCTAAATCCTTATTTGGACTGCCGTTGTGCTCGGGTAGTCTTCCCTCCCTCTTCGCCTCTACTCTCGGGATCTTCTTCATCGGCCTAAATTAAACCTCGATGTCTTTGACATTTTAACACCGGAAGTCGAAAAAGAGACCTACTTAAGCGATTTCAGAGAAGAAAGGGTAGGATAATCAATTGTGCAAAAAATGCAAATAAGATAAAATTACAAATAAGATATGAAAGTACGGAATGTAAAATTGTAAATGTAATTTTGAAATCTAGGTCGTGACCCATGATCTTTTACAATAATTATATTACATTCATACATCATTAACATTTGCATTAATTTTATTTCTAATAATTAATATGTAATATAGTACGATAGTAGGAAGAGGATGTGTGCAGGGTGACGGCAAATTTGTATCATTTAGAGTACCCGTATAGAAAAAGTGTAGGGCGACGGATTATCGTGTCTGGCAAAAATACGGGAGTATCGCACCATCGTAATCAGTGTGTCGCCATTATCATCGTCACCATCCATACCCATTCACTCATTTCAGCATCCATCACCTCATCTGTCATTGTGTTGTAAATCCCAGTGTTGTGTGTGTATATTTGAAAGTATAAATACTCAACGTTATTTGAACCGGGAGATTTCTATTAATAATCATGAGTGAAACAATGCTCATGACTTTCTAATCGTTTTGCTCTCAACATTCGGTCATTTTCATACCATTATTTGCCATTTGCTCGCAGTCTAATTTAACTTCTCGCTTGATTCATGCTCACGTCATTTTGCATCATTCGTGGGTGACAAAATCATGTTGTATGTCATCATCATTTCGCACTCGGACGGACGAGAGAAATCGGTATTGTCGTCAAGAGTCTGCCGCAGATTCATCTTCATTCATCAAAGAAAAAGAAAGACGACACCGACAAGAAAAAAGTAATCAGAAAGAAAAGCAGTACCCGCTGGCGACCTCGCTAACGGGTTGAAGCTCTCGCGTGGAATCATTTATATTTGCGAAGAACAAAAACTCATCCAGAACTAACATTCTAACTTGAGTATTATACTTCAAGTTTAGATGTTTAGATGTGCTCTGATTTATATGGTAGGATGCTCTATCTCAGGACCCGAGGGCTGCAACCTGTTCATCTACCACCTGCCCCAGGAGTTCGGTGACGGCGAACTCATGCAGATGTTCCTCCCGTTTGGCAACGTCATCTCATCCAAAGTTTTCATCGACCGGGCGACCAACCAGAGTAAATGCTTTGGTAAGTGCAACGGTAACTGCGGACAAATTTCAGAACGACTAGCAACAACGAAGGATGCGTCTATCTGACTCAATCCTTACAACTATTATACAAGGTAGGGCGAAGAACGTAAACACACATATCGCCAAACAACGGAAGTGAATATGAAATCATACCTAAATTTTTAATATCACTCGTTTTTTATTATATTGTACAATTATGCGATTTAAAACATTTTTTTTTTATTTCTGATGAAAGCTATCGGAAAAAATATTATTAAAAAAACAAATATTCTCGCAAAAATTTTTCAATATATTTTTATTTTAAATCGTATAATTTATTGAATGTAAAAATATAATCATGACATACATGGATCTGTCTGTGATTATTATTATGACTTTCGATCAGTCACACAGTGACTCTACTACAGTGCTCTAAATGACTTTACACGTTTCCAATCAGAGAGTGGTGGTTTAATCATGGAAATTTAATTCGTCTCGTCCGTATTAGCGGATGAACTGAATATGAATGCCGTTTCAATGGAGCCAGAATCAAATTGCACAGTTCTTTTTTAGAGACTATGCAGAGAGGACCGAAACAGAGAATGCGGATAAAAGCCACTGGCGTTCCTTTGATTAATCGTATCCGAGAGTATGAGGATACAGATAATTGGACGATTCCATTCACGTCCGTTCGGTCCTTGGTCTTCACATTCGTCCACATGCGATTCATACGTTTGCGTTCGTGTATTTTGTCTCTTGTTTCAGACACTCGGATTCCCTCCCCAAAAAAGGTATAAGGCTCTCAATGACACGTCATAATTATGCCCGCGGTGGGAAAAAAATGTGTAAACGTTTGTATTCCTTCAAAGGCACGTTCCTCGTCGCGATCAATTTAACGAAAAAACTCTTTGACGCAACAGTTCTGTCGAAAATTCGCTATATAATTATAACCACTGCGATTGGAATAAAATTTGTGTCTATATGAATCTTTTTTTAATGTATTATGCAGTGAAAACTCGATATAACTTGACTCTTGTTCACAACAAACTTTCTGGAAACTAATCAGGGTTGAAATAATCAGGGTGCCCTTTGGTCCGAAAATAAAAGTAATTTGTGAAGCAAAGAACCATGGGTGGGCGGAAGATGAGACTCGCGGTTTAGATCACCATGATGTCGAAATTGAAATGGGATCAACTTTAATGATGAAAATTGGCTTAAACCGAGAAAGTCGTGATGATCTTTTGGGAAAACGGTCTCTCTGAGGGTCTCCGTTATCATGAATAATTCCTTCCAGGATAATATCCAGTTCATGGACAAAAACTTTTTTCTTTTCGGATTCTTCACGGAAGATTTAATTCGCCTAGATTGCTGTTTAATTGCCAAATAATCAATACTCCTCTCTCAAAATATAATAACTATTGTATTTAAAAATGCTAAACCTATACTTTTCCTTATCATATATAAATATATTTCTCCGACTATGAATATCATTATGATAAAACTGAGTTACTATTTTGTTGTACTGCATTTATTAATAATTAATGCCTGTGTCATACAAATTGTATTTGGCGATCTCTTCTGGCGATTATATACATCAATAAATGAAGATTATATTTTCATATGATCGAAAGAAGATTTTCATGAGGGATGAAAAATCTGTTATACACTGCAGGATTCAACGTTCGGTATTTTCAGGTTTCGTGTCGTTCGATAATCCAGCGAGCGCGCATGCAGCGATCCAAGCGATGAACGGCTTCCAAATAGGGATGAAACGATTAAAAGTCCAATTGAAGAGGCCCAAGGACGCCAGCCGGCCATACTAACCCACGTCCTAGCCTAGAAAATCTGGACGAGTCGCGCCCTATGTCGTAACTAACAGAGTAAGTTTTTTTTCTTGGAAAAAAGAAGACATTTTTTGCGTTCGTACGAGGTATTAGACATTTTTCTCTTAGCTGCGATAAAATTATTAATTTTAAAATAGCAATATATCGATATAAAGTCTATATATAGTTCTTTAAGTATTAGCATTATTAATTGGTATACACGGTAAATAATTCTATTATATATTCCTATCTCAGAAATTACATAATATCGTCGCTTTGAATTGCAGATGTCGTCCGAGAACGTGAACTCGATGGACGCTCGACGATCAGGAGTGACAAGTTGAATCACCGTTACAACGCTCTCCGCCGTAACAACTTAGTATACTAGCTAGTTAATTCATTAGAGGGTAAAAATTTAGAAGTCAGTAGGACAGCGACGGCTTCAACGTCGTTGAAGTTCGTGCGACGGCGGCGGCGGCGGCGGCGGCGGCGGCGGCGAAGAGGCTGAAACGAATGCGATGAAGGATGTTCTGCGCTGAACCCAGTCCGAGAAGAAGAGTTGAAGAGAGAAGAGGACGAGACAGACGCTAAGATGACGTTTCCCAGATGTTCAGATAATCGGAATCCAACATCGATATACAACATCGGCTTTCCCCTGTCTCCTTTTTATCCAATCCCACACTACTACAAATCTGCATGTTTCTTTCTGTCCTCCGCGAGTCTAGCCTCTGGTCCCTACTGCCAGGTGAGAGATTACGTTTGAGCTCGAGGACGAGGGCGCGAATGGACATGAGCGTGCAGCGAAACCTGTCGCGAACATTTCGAGGATCCGGAGAGATCTACCAGAAATACACTGGAAATATTAAAACCGATCACGTCGTCCGGATACATGGCGACACCGTTATAGTTACACGCGCGAGTCACGACATCGCGCCGCGACGATCGTCCAGCCGACATCAAACCGACAATAGCTAAATCACGAAATATCCCGTCGATAAAACGCCCCTAGGAGTCTCGTCGTGTTCGTTGCCAGTTCGCCGATGTGCGATGCAAAGCGCGGAAAAGATGCCGTGACAGAGGAAAATTTGCCCAGCTCGTACAACTTCGGACAGATTGATCCTCAACGAGGACCCTCGACGAGGCCGGATCGTCGTATTCGTCGGCAGGACAGAACAGTTCCGACGATTGTCGTAGTACGAGAGGCTGGCGAATCTTCTGTACTCGTACGTAGCGAACGATTTAGTCGTCGCGATGAAGATCCCGTGCGATGACGACGACGACGACGACGACGACGACGACGACGACGACGACGGGACGGACAAATAATCCCCGCGCGACTGATGAAAGTAGGATAAAATGCAGGCTCGTCCCGAAGACGCGGGCGAGGTCCGATATCTCTCTCCCAAAAAGACAAATGTCAATCATACGCTATACAGGGTGCTCGTCTGACGAAACGCGTCTGAAAACTTTGAAAAAAAGAAAAAGAAAAAAAAATACAAAAAAAAAAAAAGAAAAATAGCAGCGAACATGGGCTCAGCGCCGGTCCGACATCCCAGCCGGATATCGGGTTCTCTTTAACGTTTAAGGTTTAAACACGTACGACGCGCTGTAGATTTTATATACTGCAGATAGAGGAGTGAGAGAGAGTGAGAGAGAGAGAGAGAGAGAGAGAGAGAGAGAGAGAGAGAGAGAGTGTGCGTGAAGAGGAGTTTGCGCGCGTCGTGCTGCGCGTCGAGGAGGAAGCGAGAAAATCTTGTCCTACTCGCGCGCGTTCGCACGGTGCTCATCCTCCGCGATTAATAGCTCTTATTACTACTATGATCATAGTGATTATCATTGTAATTATCGCTAAGTAAGTGACGCGCGAGTTTCCGGCCGAAAGTATAATCTACTCCGTTGTGGTTCCTGCGTGAACATCGAGAGAGGAATCGCGTGTGTGGGCGCGCGATTGCCCCGCCCGTCTCGCCATCGATCCCGCAGCTCGGTCCGATTTATGGATCGACGATCGACTTTGCCTGATCGGTTAAGCATCGCCCGAGAAATGTCAGCCAGGCTGTGATTGTCCAGATGATGACGATGTCGCCAATGATAGTCCTCTTTAAGTTTTTTATTAGTAATGACGCTACCTTCTGTTGTTGTTGAAGTAGAACAAGTAGGAAGAAAAAAAGCAAGGAAAACCAAAGAAAATGATTTAAGGATGGTAACGTTATGTAAAATGCAATATTTATCTTAGAACCGATTATCTTTCGCTCGTCTTTCTTTAAACTGCGATACAGAAACAAACAGTGTTAGAGAGAATACTATTTTTTACGTTCGATTATTTCTTAAGTATAAAAAGAATTGAGTTTAGGATGTATTATGGGGTCTGATTATCGTGCAATGGTTTCATTGACTGTGGCCGGTTAGTTCTGATTTTAAGACCGTCTTAAGTAATGTCTGAAGAGCTAATGCGGCTCTCTGATTGATTTATGACATTTTAAGACTGTATTTAAGACGATCTTAAACATGAGAATCGACTGCGAATACCGGTCTGTATGCTTTATTCGTTGGCCGGGACTCTAAAAATGATAGATTTGAACGTATGTATCTTTTCGAGAGAAGAGGACCGCGTGCTGCCGGATGCAAATTCGGTATGCCCAATCGATCAATCATGTGTGTTCATGCGGAATTCCTGTGACTGAAATAGACAAAACATTGAACATTTCGCGTGCGATGCTCGGTCGGATATGCAGAGAGTCTCGAGCGAGTTCGCGAAAGAAAGCCAAAGAACGGAAGAAAGGAGGAGCGAGGGAGGGGAAGATGGGAGGAATAGGGGATGAAATACAGAATATATAAAATACGCATAGGGTAGGTGATAGGGTAAGCGAGCGATGAAGCGGAGAGGGAAAACTCTGATCTAGCGGAAATAATCATCCAAAGTATACACAACACACACACACACACACACACACACACACACACACACGATAAATATCATATATTATATATATCTATATATATAGTATATATACATATATATATATAATATTACATATACATTATATATGCGTACGCATATACATACATTTACGTACGTGACGTGTGTACACGCGTATATATGTATTGATCGAAAGGAAGTTATAAAAACATACAATTAGTAAATTATTCTAGTTTTAGCGAAATCAACGTATAATAAATTATGACGAGTTTAGTGAGACGAGAAATTGCTTCACTCTGGCGGCTGCCATTTATGTTTGCATATATTTCATTAAACATGCATACACACACATACACAAATATGCATATATATATATATATATATATATATATATATATATATATATATG